CCCCCCCCCCCCGCTCCCCGAACATTTTTGTTGCCAAAGTGTGTATGTAAGTTTACACAGTAGTTAGTATCTACTATATTTATTGTATATGTATAGAGCACATAATATATGTATTGATTAAAATTGTTTAACTCTTCTGAAAATAAATTCATACAAAAATTAGATACACGTCTTTTATAATTATCCTATTTAGAATATATAATTATTTTTTATATCAGTGTTTTTTTTTAAAGTTTTCTTTTGTTGGTGGGGTCCTTTTTGTTCGTAGGGACCCATAGGCAGTGCCTAGTTTGCCTATGCGTTAGTCCGGCACTGTACAGAATATATGATCAGACTTCTAATTTTTTTTTTACAATAATACAAGTATTTAACCGCACATAAATGTGTGTGTATGTGTAGTGAAATGTGTGTTTGGTATATGTGTGTACACATAGAGAATATACTAATTAATAATAGACGGATAGTTTTTTTTTCTTTTGTAAAACTGCTTAATTCTCTCGGGTTTCTAAAACCTCTGTGTTCCTTTCGTAAGAGAATAATAGACTTCTTTTCTGTTTTAATTATTTGGTCTCTCGGTTTAAAGCTATAAATATTAACGTTTGGAGGTAATTATTTTTTTTCAACTTCTTTATATACGTACGTGTGTTGTTTGCGTGAAGCCGACGCTGCGATCCATTTGTTTTGTTTGTTTGTTTTTTTTTTTTTTTTTTTTTTCACGTCTTTACGTAAATAACATTAGTTAGACTGCTCTTACGTCTAAATATTTTATTACAAGTTACATTTCGTTGTATAAGTAAATCTTTTCGAGATTTTACACATGCTTGGTTTAATCAGTCATTAACAACAAATCTATGAAATTAATTTACGTAATTTACATGTATTTTACATTTCTATTATATTGTTACATTGTATATAAAATGGGTTTTACTTAAAATACTGCATAATCATAATTTCAATATGTAGACACAAATGGATCCCAGCATAAACTTGCTACTTGTTATAATTCTCTTTTCCGCATGAACGTAATGTGGTTGTTGCGAAATTAAAAGAATATCGTAGTCACATTTGTACATATATAAAAATAAAGAGTCGCGATATGTACATTAGCAAAATTATCGTTATATCTTTTTTTTGTGGATTTGCTTATTTATGCGTACAGTATTTGCAGATGTGTGTGTGTATGTGTGTGTACGTACGTATGTGTGTGTGTACGTACGTAACGCATACGCACACATCCATATATACACTCGAGATGATCTTACAAGCAGTTATTTCAGCTGTTACAAATCTCTCTACATTCTGATTTCATTTCACGTCTCACGTGTGAGTGCGTGAACATCGACGAAATTTTGTTAACGTAAAAGTTACTATACATTCGACACTCGCAATAGTCCATTAATTTTTACATGCGATACATAAGAACAGTTTGGTTTTCGCTTTTGAAATAATGACACACAATTTCCTTAAAAAAATTATTACTAATGAGACCTTATGTTAACAATGTCTATTCGCTTAAAATCGGACACTCACGTAACACACACAAACGCTTATCAATAATACAATGAATAATATAATTCGTATACTATTAATGAGTAGAGATAAAAAAAAAAGCTCGAAGATGCAACTAGTGGGTTTGCTGCAGCAAACAAGTAGAAGAGATTACCGGAAATGAGAATGTTCGGTGCGGATGTTCGAACGTTTACATTCTTTGTTTGTTTTTCGATAGGTTGTTGATTCGATAAACGAATATCCGGCTTGATATTTCGACACAGAAGCGGAATACGTAAATTTTGTAGTTTCGCACATATTTCGCTCGAGCGACGATAAATACAAAACAAATAATTTGCCAATACACGTTACTTCTCACAAATGTTTATTTAAAAATTAAATGTTTATTTACAAGATTACACAGTGTGTAAATATCTCTTAGAATGAGAAATTTCTTTTAATCTTTAACAAAATCTGCTGACACATGTGTAAATATTTGACCAAAAACAGAATGACTCAACGTCTGACACCAAAGTTACGCGTTGCTCACAGAGAGAATAAGTGAAATTCCGGGAATTCCCCACATTCCAAGATTTAAATGACTCATCGCTCGCGCGCGTAAGAAATGATTTACACGTGTACTTTACGATATGCTTGAGAGTTATTATTTATATTGTAGATTATCACTTATATGCTACGAGAATTTAAAAAAATATGCGAATTGATCATCAGGACAGGATCACTGCGAGGAGGTTGTTGTTGTAATGACGCGACGACGAATCTAGAATCTAAATCTAGATTTAGACGGACGATCGCGAGAAAGTTACGATATCGTCGATTTCTTTTTGCGCGATTGTCAAAAAATGAGTAATAATGTAATAGGTGTATTCGTCGTTTGCTCATCTATTATTGAAACCTGCTTAACATGATATGTGCGACAGCATTCGCGCATATCTAACGAGGGAAAATCTTGATCGTTTCTCTTGGACGTTCTACGTATTTGGACACGTGTAGGTAGGTATATATATTTTATATATATATATATATATATGCACACACGTATACACACATGTACGTGCGTGCGCGTATGACATGATGACTCTGCAAATAAAGCGACGAACTTCGTTAAATCGATCCAAACGGTTTGTGTGTACCAACGATTTTTGCTCGGAATAATCTCTCGATGCTCGTCAGTTTAATTGCGCGGAAACACCACTTGTACGTACATGTGTACGTATACACATACACACACAATTCTTTTAATAGATACCTGACATTGACGTGCGCGCACGTGTATATTAATTCTAATCCTGTAAACCCCTTTTGATTCCGATTTTTACAAATGAGAATTTTAAAAACTACTTAGTGGGCGAATTTTCAAAAATCTAAAACCATCACAACTATTATTATTTCCCTAATTTAGAATGTCGAATAAAGCTCCGTGAATTTTTGTAGCCAATAAAAAAAATCGCGTCGGACATAAATATCGGGGATTTACAGGATGAGGGTTAATCTGTTTGCATTATGTGTGTGTGTGTGTGTGTATATATACGTACGATACGTGTGTAAACGAGATTTTGCGAGAGAGACTACGAGAGACTAGGAGGAATTCCAAATGCGAATTTAATTTTCCAGCAAATATTCGAGAGAAATTTGATCGTATAATTTTCATATGTCTCTCTATAATGAAGAGCGCGTGTATAAGTGAATAGAATTCCATTCCCATTAGTATTCTTAGAATGGCCCCGTGTTTTTTTTTTTTTTTTTACTTACGATTGGTCCAGAGATCTAAAGTCGAAGGAAGATCGGCAACGATGAGGCACGTGCTTCGCGTAGGAGCGACTTTTTAATCGTGGAAAAAGCCAGCTTTTTAATAAATCGATAAAGGACGCTATATATGTATATTATATATATGTATATATGTACGTATATTACAAAATGTTCTGGATGGCAGATGCGCGTGTTGTTCGCACGAATCTCTGTCGCACACATTATTACACACGATCTATATATTGTTCCCACATTTTTGTGATAAAACCCTGATAAAGCGCGATAAAGTCGATTGCCCCGGGAGGAGATAAATCTCCTCGATATATATTCTCCCTTTTATCGAAGAGAGGAAGTTTCGCGAGGTTTTTTCTTTATTCCGCGTGTTAAACTCTGTTAATGCTTTTTTCTTTTTATATTATATAAAGAATTTTGCGTTTCCGCATGCGTGCACTTTGAGTGAAAAAATTTCACACTCGCAAGCAACACGGATTTATATCTTGAAAGACGTGATCTCTTATAAACTCCCGCTATAATACTCGTAGATATGTCGATAGCTGATTCAATGTTTTTTTTAGAAATAGATTAACATAGAGTTTCTCTCTCTCTCTCTCTCTCTCTTTCTTCTAGTGAACTCGCTCTAATGCAAATTGTTTTTTTTCTCTACTAAAATATAGATACAACGAAGTAATTTCTCTGTCTTGTTTTTCCTGTTACATTTGTTACACGTCGAATATAATATATTTACGACACACGTGTAATTAGAATCATCGAATTCGCATGGCAAACATTTTTGCGCCCGCAAAAGAGAGTTCGATTTCAATAATCGGGAAAGTAATTGCCGTGAAACTCGGTCTTCTTGTGAGTAATATTTCTGCGTACAAAGCATATACGACGAATTTACAGAGTTGTTGAATCAGAGAAAGAATTATTAGAGAATACTATTTAAGCTTAATAGACGTTATTTATGCGTGAAAAGTTACTTTTTATTTTTGCACGCGCAAGTCTTAACTCATTATTATCTGGAAGAGACGTGTGATACGAAAAAAATCAGCTTCAATAAATTGTAATGCGCTTTGATATGCAGGTTTTTTTTTTTTTTTTTTTTTTTTAGTTTCTTCGACCAGTTGCATTTGTTTCTTATCGTACAATGATAAACCGTTTTTTATATACGTGTGCCTGTATACAACGTTGTACAATGCAAGCGGTCAAACTATGTATATCTAATTTGAAACGACTGTACATTTTGTTTATTTCTCCGTGCTCTCTCGACGGACTTCATTTGAACCGATCGTACAATTTTATTTCCGGCGTCGCGCAACGTTGTCGTCGCAGAACGATTACGATAACGTTCTGTTGAAAAAGAAAACTAACAAATAAGAAAATTGTTTTACAGAGGAAGGTAAAATATATATATGCCTGTGGATGCGAGAATGGCGGACAGTTTTCGTGCGCGCGATCAAAGGGAAAAACCGGGGGAGAAGGATTGAAACCGGGTGACGGGCGGATTGGCCGGGAGTTTACACGAGGAGCTCCTTAAGGAAGTCCTCGGCAAGCAAGTCCTACAAGTACTCGTCGACGCGTTCGTTCTCGTCCGGCGGACTCGGCTCGCTCACGCTTAGAATCGGCAGTCCGAAGTGTTGCACTTCGATGCTCGATTCCGTGGTCACGCGTTGTTTCGCGTAGTCGCAGCTCATTGAGTGTCGGTCGGCGTCGATGCGCCGCCGATATTGATGATACCGCGGCAAGCGGGTGACGTCGTTCTCGCACGTTCGCCGATAACACCTGCGCAAAAAAAGAGATGATTTTTTTTCGAGACATTAATTCTCAAGTCGGAAACGTGTGCGTGTCTTATTAGATCTCTCTACACTCCCGATGAGACGAGGAAAGAGGAAAAGATGTACTCGTCGATATCGAGTTTGACACGTAATCAAGTCGTTATTCTTTAACGGTGGAAAGGAGATATTTGGAGGACGAGAGAATAGAACGTCATCCAACGATGACATATTCATGACCAATAGTTTCAGGAAAGCGCTTCGGGATATAAATAGTGTCTTATTGCGGATTCATGAAGGTATGCATTTTACAGGTTCGCGTCGCGGATATTTGCAGCAGTGAACGATCATATATTTCAGAATTGACGGATCGCAAAGTAACAGCGAATAAGATAGTTATTGCGTTCGCGCCGCTGCGACGAATTTAATATTGATAGTTTTTTGCGCGGAAAAGTAAAGAAAATAAAAGTTTGAGATTTTTCTGAGAACCAGAAGTTTAAAAATGATATTTTATAACACACTCAAATACAATTACGAAAGGTTTTTAGTACCAGGAGCGAGTACCAAGAACAGACACGGTTGTATATATTTTATGTATTTCAATTGTAAACGAATTATTACCGCTCATCCATGGAAGCAGGTTGTCGCACGGGGCATCTAACGTACTCGTGACTTCCGCTACTACGCCACCCTCCGAAACGTTTGGTGATTAACGACGAAGATGATATCGGAGAATCTCTGAAATGTTAAGCGTAATTTTTTAATTTATATATAAAGAAAAATTTCTTACATAAAACTGAAAATACAATTTATTCTTTTCGATTGTTTTCGAAGCATACTATAAGTCGGTGGAAATTGTCTCGAAAATGTCAGACGGTTATTGACAACGACGTGGCGACTGTTGGACACATTGTTAACATGAAAACATTTTTTTAGTTTCACAATCGAGTTGAATAGATGTATTTTCAGTTTTATATAATAAATTGTTTTAATAAAATTAAACTGGTCGCGTTCCTCTTTGACAGACTGATGTGTGATCATACGCTATTGTACAAAACCACGCAAGCAGAATTTTCATAAATTTAATTTTTTTCATGCGTCTTACACATCACCGATTGTCGGCGTGTTTATGTGTCACGAGTTAAATTAAATCAAACTATAACATCGCACAAGTTGTCGGTACACGTCAGAAAACAGCTCTCGACGATTGACGTGGCAAAATAAGTGGGACAAAAGTTCCGTATCTTAAAAAAAAAAAAAAAACCATACGGAAACTAAGGAAGAAACGGAAAAGCGAGCAACAAAAATCGGAAGAACGAGAAAAGTTTGCGTATATCGCATGCACACGCGGCGCTTTCATAATTTATAACTCTGTATACAGCAAATTGCGCGCTGGTAACACGTGTGTGCACGTAACGTTGCGATATTATGGAAATGATGTGATGCAGAAAGGAAAGCGGCACATTTGCGGAATACCTACATCTAATGACGCGCACGTGCAACGCGCGTCTCTTTTATGTGCGTATGTGTGTGCGGGGAAGGAGGAGAAGGAGGAAAGAGAAAAAGATTGTTCAATAAATAAACTTTTTCCCCGGAAAGCTATTTTTAAAAGCCAGACGTTACGATCGAACATAAATAACTGTAATCTGTCGTCCTTAAAAAAAAAAAGCCCACATTCTCGGATAATCTCACTGCCGTCGTTTCTCTGATAAAAACGAGAGAGGGTGGTTATATGTTTCCCGCGCGTTTGTGAACTTACGCGAACTTTTTTCTCCCGAGAGACAAACGTATATAAAGAAACCAGCCGTCTTATCTTTGTCTACGCTTGTGTGTGGTTTGTGTTGGGGTCGCGTGAAGCAGCGATGTTGAATATGAATACCTACTGCACGCGGGGCGCGGAGCAGCGCCGCGCGAGAAACGGAAGGTCGCCGCGAGCGAGCCGCGCGAACGATTGCAAACGGTTGCAAAGTAGCGGAGTCATTTACATGCCACACGGCACACGGGGTCAAGTGGGCATCGCCTAGTAAAATTGTGATCGATAACACGCCCACCGGGAGTCGTGTGCTCTCGCTGTGCATTGACGTTGCATTGCGGATCGAAGTTTTGTCGCGCGCGCGTTTCCTCTTCCCTCCCCCTCCCTCCCACCTCCCCCGCGACACACAATGTTGGTATATCGCTTACATTTAAATTTCCACGGAGACTGTCATTATTACGCGCGTGCGACGTTGCGCAAGGGGTAGAGGAGTCGAGAGCGCGCACCTGGCCTCTCGCAAGTCGCGGCCAAATCGATGCGTTTATCCTGTGTAAGTCGTGCAACGCGACTCGGTAATTTGCATTTCTGATGAATCGCGCAGACCGCGCGTTACGCGGTATCTTGATATATCTTCTCGTAGAAACGAGAAGTCGCGAAACGAGCCGCGCGAGGCAAATTAAAGCGGGGGAGATGCTGACGGAAATCGATTTTTGTTTTTCAACTCTCTTCTGGCCTCGAACGTCGTTAGCGATAATAAATGCCTCAAACGAATTTTCTCGGGATTCACGAGTTACGTGAACATTTTAACAATTGCCGACGTTATGATTATGTATTATTCTTTCGCCGATACGCATAAAACTGTGTTTTTGTAACAATTGAAATATATGCACTCTACGTGCGCGCAAAAACGTTGCGTCGAATGAAATGTTGGCCCCTTGATCGTTTCTACTATGTTGCTCGCGTGAAAAATTATTGTATACCCAGCAAACCTACGCAGAAATAACAATAAATCACGCGGGAAAATTGTGCGTCGAGGAAATGTGAGAGGGAAGATGATACCTACACGCTTTGCTCTGCTAAAATTACAGGTACGATGTAACTGGATTATAATGCTGTGAGAGATTAATGGCGTTTATTTGGTAGATTAATTTCGTTTTTTCTCACAACTGATGAGTTTCTCAAATCGACAAATCTCCAAACTTCTTTCGCATATTTATTGAAACGAAAGATATATGAGAAACGGAAACTAATTAATGGTTTTTTAATGTCTGCAATGATGTGTGTGTGCTCTTGTCGGAGGTCTAACGAACCTTGAAGAAGGCTGCTGATAACTAGGATCCAAGAGCGAGGTTTCCGTGTTATCTTTCGTTGTGCTCTCGACGCTGCTCTGCCTTCTCGAGTCCTGATCCTCGATGGACTTGTCGTCCTGACAAATCGGCTTCAAGAAGGACTCCCGAAGGTCGCCTTCGTTGCCTTCGTCCTTGGAGCTTCTTCGCGGATCTTGTTGGCGATTCGATGACGCGAGAGGCAAGTTATCTGCACTGCGAACCTTGCGACACAACTTGGACGTGGATCCGTGTCGTCGTAGAAACTCCTGAAAGCACAAAGTGTTCGGACTCGTCGATAGAAAATCGCGCAAACGTGACGAGTTAAAAAAAAAAAAAAAAATTATTGACTTTTTTCATACTTATTTATTTATTACATTTTTGTCGTGCGCTGTTGAGTGTGATGCAACGAATATATACCGAGCTGAAAAGGTGGTGACGCGCGTGAAACAAAACGCGAGGGAAGATAATACGGAATGTGACGCTACTTTTGATTTTCTCATTTATATTCCTTTGAAATATTATATTAAAATTGTCTTGAATGACATCGCGATATCGCGTACTTTGCGATCGCGGCGTTTTTTCTTCTCTTCGTGTGTTCGTAAATGGAAGTTCAAATCTTCTGTAAGTGCAGATTAAAAAGAAATCCGTTCTCTGTGCGCAGCAGCGTAATATTTGTTTCAACGTTAAATCTGTTTCTTTTTTTTTTTTTTTTTACAAAATAAAGTAAAAAACAGATAGACGAGAAGGATTTTAAATCACATGCAATAATAACGTATGCGTAAAAGACTACTCTCAACGAGTACGGGAGTATTAAATTTGTGATTTGTTTTAGATTTATTATTGATATCAGGAGCGAGCAGTTACTCGAACGTTGCATAAATAATGCGTTGTAATGCGGTAAATTGCGCGTGCAATATATCGATCTCGAGGAGAAGAACATCAAGCAAAATCTTTGTATTATTAACGACATCGCTGTGCTAATACCGTGCCAATTGCGAGAGAGTGACTTCGTGTGTGTGTGTGTGTGTATGTGTGTGTCGTAATGGCACGGTAATAAAATGTGAACCACAAAGGGATTGTGGCGCGAAAATTACATTACAAAACGAATGTGTGTGTGTGTGTATGCGCGCGACAAGAGTAAACATTTAACGATTCCAAATAAAAACAAAAAAAAAACATTTAATTAATATACCACACACATGTTGCAAAAAAAAATTTGTTCGTTTTCTTACATGTAATTCACGAACATATCGATTCGTTTAGTGCACTACACTGTACTTCAGACTACCTTGAACTTTGACGTTTGAGGTATCTCTCTCTTTCGCATGTGGAAGTATCTCTTTCGTGTTCATTATTTATTGAAATAACTGTCGCACCGAGGGATATGGTTATTCCGTTCGACTCGGGTTGCGATATGTGTTAACAATGTATGCCAAAATGCACGATCTGAAACTGTAACAATCGCGCAAATAAGCACGTGCGCGCGTTTATTAACGCCGCGATATTGTTTCGTGTTATAATCGCGGAACGCACTTTCGATTCTCGGAGAATGAAAGAGTGGAAGGGAAGGGTGGCGCGTGTAATCGCGGCTCGAATTCGATTTGCCTGGTTTACGATATAAATGATACATCGCGCGCGCAAATAATCTCGCAAAAAGAATACGCAATGAGGCTGATAAGTCCCTGCCCTCCTCCTCGTTGCATTGTAATTGGGGTTACTGACTGCGAGTTAATCGGTTTTCTTCCGTGTAATTGGAGTAGACTCCCGTTGCGCGACCGAGCAGCTCGTACACGCTGCAATTTGTCTCGCGGATTGTTGTAACTTAATCTTCAATTTTCTTTACAGGGTAAATAAATAAATCCAACGTGTTGCAAATAAATCATCGCGTACGCACAAACGTGTATCGTATCTAACGTGACACATGGCGATTTTCTACCTCTTACTGATGGGGATCTAATATTCAAGGTCGAAACGTTTAACATTACGTCACTATGGAAGATTGAAAGGACGAGATTTTGCACAAAACAAACCTGTTACTCGATCTTTCATCCTTTTTTTTTTTTTTTTTTATTAAATTTTAACTTTGTATGAACCTGTACTATTTATTTTTACACTTATTATTGACATGTTTCAGATATTTATGTGTGTGCAAATTGCTGAATGAAATTTCACGGAAGATACGCACAAATTTACATCTCATCCGAATGTATGTACGTTTTACTTTCGAATCTGCATGTGTAACGACACTTTTACATATAGATTTGAATGTAAATTGTAGCAAATGTCGGAACGACAAGCTTGAGTTAAAGCGTAGCTATAGTTAAGGCCGAATATCATCCGTTGTACAACCTTCCGCCTGATTCCCTATACTGATTTCCGATTTCACTCTTCCTTCCTTCCCCTTCATCCAGTAATCACAAAGTGGCCGTATGGACGAGGGCGGCATGATAACACACACGGGGCCCTCACACTAAACGGACAGACGCTCTCTGTTCATTTCCCGCGCGCGGGGAAGAAAAAAGGTCGCGCGGGAACAAAATCGCACACCGGTAAATCGATCAGCGCCGAGTTCGAGGACGTATCGCGGTGCTGTCCACCTCGCGTAAATGCGACGTATCGATCTTTTTTTTCTCTCTCTCGCGCGTGAATTTTTCTCGTTTATCGTTTCGATTACATTGTACTTTACCTGCGACAGGAAGCCGGCTACGTCGATTGCACTGTTGACGCGCGGCCTCGAGGTTCTCGGCCAGCCCAAGGCTCCGCCGCTGTCTAAGGAGTCCACGTGATGGCTCGACCAGTGCAGATGCTGGAAAATTTCACAGAGATTTCACGTTTATGTCCACCATACGCGGAAAAAAAGAAAGACGCGGTGAAACAATTGCAGTAGTCGAGCGCTCGGCCTCTCGCGAGAAGCGTGAACATTTTTTTTTATTTGTTTTCACATAATGCACGTGGGAATATCTACGTGATAAGAAAAGTTGAGAGGCCGAGAGACGAGCGAACGTGAGGGTGCTGTTGTTACGGTGAAAGAAAATGCGAAAAAACGAGACAAAATTGCGCAAGGTCGCATCGGAAGTTCCTCCGACATTTTCGCGTTTTGAGGGAAATGCGCTTATAGTTTTTGGAACTACCGGTGCAACGCCAAAATGGTGATCACACACAATGTGAACATATGTTTGTACTTTTTGCTGCAGCGATGAACAGAATTCGAAATGTAGCACCTTCATCTCCCTTCATCTCTTTTTTTTTTTAAATAAATTCTATTCTTGTTTTTTATTTTTTATTTTTTTTGAAGATTAAATATGTTTTACGAGTTTGCAGTCTAATTACACGTAATACCAGGCGTAAATACGTTATGTAATCCTGCAACATAAATCACAAGGATTTAAACGTTACAGGGCACAACGTAACAAGGCATATATGTAAAATGCACCCTTCTGTGTGCAAGGGGAGATTAATTTTAGATATGTGTGTGTGTGTGTGTGTGTGTGTGTGTGTGTGTTTGATAATTATTCAATATTTCCAGTTTTATGCGTAAAGAATTTAGAAATCGTTGATTCGGACTACGATGAAAATACTTACGCTTGTTAAAATGTCATTAAATTGTGAAACGGAGCAGAAAACGCTAATCAAATTTAAAGGTGATCCGAGAATCGGATGAAAGAGCGCGACTATTATTAATCTCGTCCGTTGATTTTTCGACAAGAAGGAAACAGTAATCGCGATACAGTGTTGTAATCAGTGTTTTATAAATTTAAGTAATTAAAAGACTTATATAGCGATATATAATTCATCCGAATTTTCGCATCACCTGTGCAAAAATCGCGCTGTCGTATCGCGGAAATTAAATTTATATTAAAAAAAAAAAAAAACTGTTTGACACTGTTTTTTTTTACTGTAATTATTCCGTATTTTACTGTAATTATTTACTGTAATTATTCGTTCCTTGTTGACGAGAGAATTTTTTTGCACGATACGACGCGCAACGCTACGGTTCTACTTAAAAAGCATCTTAAGTAAGCTAATACAATAAGCAATCTTCGCGTGACTTGATAGTCGTGACGTAATAATATACAAAAGCATCGATATGTGTGCGAAGCATCATCTGAATGCTCAACAGTAGATACTTTTTTTTTTTTTTTTTAGCTGGGACATTGACGCAAAGAAGTGCAATCTCTAATCATCGAATCTAATTTAAGCATCAAGTTTACACTGCGACTTTATCGTTTTAGAAAATATGAGAACAATCAAACAATTTAATTGTGTGTGTTTCGAAAAAAAATTGATGAGGAATAAAACAAAGGAAGGAGTTACCTCGTTGCGTCAATGACGTGACTTTTTTTTAGTTAATAAAATTATTAACGTACGATCTCCAAGCGGCTGCGTTGTACACTTTTGTGCGTAAAGTTCGTCAATAATGTGCTTAAACGGTGCCATCACATATTCAAAAAAAAAAAATAAATAAATAAATAACTGGAACAAGGCAAGTTTAAGCGACTTCAAGCGATTGGGAGGGCAGTAATCTAGTTCCCAAACCAAGCTGTTGGTGTTGTTGAACGAAAAAAAATGACTATTGGAAAATGAGAATTTTTCTTCGGAGAGATATGAAGATCCAAAACAAGAAGATGTTCTTTCAGATACAAATGTATCTTGTGACAAATTTTATCACTTTTTTTTTAAATCTTTTCCTCCGTTTTGTTATTGTCATATAATTAATAATAAACGTGTGTATTGATTGTACACGCATCGATTAAGATAAAATACTTCGATCGAGTTTTTTCTCGTGAGATTTGTTCGATCGGATTAGAAGATTAGGGGCGTCTACATTAGACAATATGTGAGAGAGAGCGCATCTCTCGCGAAAGAATCCGCGAAAGATTTAATCAAATTAAGTGCATCTATGTTCTGTGTTGCGGGGAATCTCAGGTCTTTAGTGGGATTCTCATGATTCCGATCAGATTTGGGTCAACGCGCTATTAGTCCAGAACCTCCCACTGGCTTCGGAACGAGACGGGATAAATTTAGCAACGGCGACGTACTGCCGCAAATCCCGAAGAGTTTCCACCGTTTTGTTTGCGCGTGTCTCGTGCGCGTAAAATCTTCTCGGTGTGTCCTCGATCCTGCGCAATTGAACAACGCACAACAACAGGCATTCTTTATTTTCTTTTGCGTGTAGTCAAAAATATTAGAAATTCTCGTACACACAATTGTATACTGGCATTAACAAACATATACGCATATACACGTAAAGATTCAAAGTCCGCACGAATCTGACACTATCCGGACAAAGGACAGTTGCATGAACGCTTCGCGTTCGGGTTTTTTTTTAGTATCCGAACAACAGGATGTTGAATCCAGCTATTACGTAACTTTTTGGAAGTCGATTGAAATTTTTCCGTCTTTTCCTTGTTGTCAACGATGGAGAGAGAGCAACAATTCGAAGAGCGAAATTATTTCGATCAATACAAGCTCCGAAAAGGTCACACGGTGGTCATGTGATCCACAAAGCGTGTGTTACCTGACATTAAAATTCCACAGTTCCGATTGGAGTTCTCGTGTTACTTTTGAAGAGATTAAGTTGACACGTTTGGTTGACCACAAATGAGCAAAGTGCGGTCAGGTTGGATTGGATCGAACAGACGGGTCCGGGATCTGATTGGGACTGACAAAGCGATTTTGCAATTGAGTTGCAAATTTGTTTCGGTCACAGATTTGTTCTCCACCTGCTCATTAATTTCGCATTCTAACCGCTTTGTTCTTTTTGCACATAACAGCATTTTCTTTGCGAAATACATTTTAAGCTCTTCATCTTATGTTTCTTTATCTCAAGTTATTCTCTGTTAATAAGGAAATTGATAACAATAAAACGTCTGCTCGCGATCAAAGTTGGCGAATAATCTTGGCGCCTTATCTTTACGAAAATTGAATGTCTTTGTCTCAGAAGAGACAAGGCAGAGACTTAGCAAGACTATTTTCGATTTCTCTTCTTGCGCATCCGCAAACATAATTAATTGCGCGCGGAACTGCAAAGTTACGCGTTTACACGCGCGCGCGCCTACATATCGCCTACTAATACACAGTTTGTCCGGAAAGTTCCCGGACTACGTGAATTAAAAATCGAAAATGAAAGATATGGTTTATTAAACAAGTTTACACTTCAAGGTAG